TTCTACACCAAATACCTGCATGCTAATGAGATGTCCCTTGTGCCTCTGCCTTTTATATTTTATTTTTTGTCTTTGACATTTCCTAGTTGCATCATTCAAAATGTGTTCCCTTACTATGAAATATGAATGGAATATCCATTTTGTGCAGAAAAAGGTTGTTCTTGCTTTGGAAGATGCGGGGATTTTCACGTCTGGTGGTTTGGTCAAAGACAAGGTGAGGATATATTCATATAATATAAAATTAATCAGTCCCATAAGCTCAAACCTGTTAGTATCATGGCTTCTGATAAATTTTAGCATAGATATGACTAATATGGTACTTGGTAGCTTCTCGTATACTTTTAGTGATATTTTGCGTGTTTTCCTCTGGAAGCATCACTATCAGAATTTAAAATTGTTTGCTGATGTTAAATAACTGACATTGAGATCGCATTTCCATTGCTCCATACTAGATTTCTTGCTTGCCTTCCGCCATTTTGCCTCCCTCGTATTGCATCTTTTCCATATGCAGCATATTATTTACAGCTTAGAGCTCATGATGTACTTGCAGGTTCTCTTCTGCAGCACAGAGATTGGGCGGACGTCTTTTGTTCGACAGCTGGAACCAGATTGGCATATTGATACAAATCCCGAAATAGTTTCGCAGTTATCTGTATATCTTCATCGCTAATCTCTTTTTTACAGATTTCATACTGCAAGTTCGTTCCATTATTCTTGACAACCCTGGTTCTTGCTTATTACAATGGCTGTGATCTGAGAAAATCTTATCTTTGTTGTTGCAGAGGTTTATCAAGTACGAGCTGCACATCTCTCCTACCAGAACCGAACGGCCAGCCTCCAACGTGTTCAGCTCTCCATCCTTGGAACAGTTCTTTGGATCAGTTTGATGCCTAAAACAAATAAAAAAATGTGCAAATATAATTCATAGACTTTTTAACTAGGTGGTTATTTTCTTATTCCCCTTGTGGGATATTTTATCTTTTCACCATGCATTACACTCCAGCTCTATGTTCTCTTGCCTGGGTTGTTGGCGGTGAAAATGAAAGATTTGCTCCACATCCTTCTCTTTGTTTTAAGGGGAAAAAAATTAAACTCTGTTTGAAATTTGTGTGATAGATTGGACCCGTGTCCAAATTCTATTTTCTCTTAGAAGTGCATGCAAACAAAATTTCAAGACAAGTTTTGGGTTTTTATTTATTTATTTATTTATTTTTAAGACTAGTTTCAAGACTCGTTTTTGTTTTGGTGTAATTATCCCGCTTCATCCTAATATGGAGACATGTCTGGCGGTGTAATGGATCGATTTTATGTTTCTACATGTTTATTATTGGTTAGTTAGAGGTATTTTGTACATGACATGATCAGATGAAAATTAGCGCTCCTAGTTTATTTATTATTATTATTTTCTACCGCTTTTGTTGCTAGGCCTTCATTCGTTTGAGTTACTTGAATGCGAGAAAATGGTCAAATATCCCCAAGATCCTCTAAAGAAAATTCAGCATTCAACTGCTTTGTCAATCTTGAGACGTCAGTTTGATCATCGACATAAACCAGCACGTAAGAAAGTGTGTTGAAGTGAATCTCAAAGACAATAATAATAAATGACTAGTCTGATTTGGCCGAGACAAACCTAAGCTGCAACAAGGTTTTGTGTAGCTTATCAAACTAAGCTTTCAACGTAACTAAGCGCTAAAGGGCATATAATATTTGCTAGGAAAAAAAATGCAACTCAAAATAATACTCTTTTATGCCATTGGGGTGGAATAGTAAAAACATGTCTTTTATTAAACAAGTAAAGAATAATTTTAAACGGCACAAACTTAAATTTTAAGTGCATAAATGTAAAGATAAGTAAGAAAGAATGGCTGTACATGTAATTTTCTTAAATTTTGTATTATTACGGCGATCACTGCCGACCGCCCCTTACTAACCCAAGTCCAAGAACCCAGATCCATCAAGAGGTTTAATATTTATTTTTTAAATTCAACTTGAAATTCTAATTAGAAATTGTGTAATTGACAAATTGTTTTCGAAATTTGTTCGGTATTTGGGAAAAATATTATCGAAGAGACATTGTTGAGTGACGACACTTGGGGTTTTGTTCATACTTATTATTATATATCTTTTTTGGATTGAAGAAGACATTGTTGACTGTTGAAGGAGTTCTTTTACAGATTTAGAGCACATATGATTCATTCTCAGAGTCTGATTCACGATTTTCAAGTCAATCTTGAATAAAAAGCATAATTTATCTTATCTGCTCTATCCGGGTAATTTTTTTTATCATTATCTACGTTCAAACACAGTTGGAAAAGCTTGTAGATAGGCCTCATTAACTTGAAATCTCCAAATCTTGTTTTAACTTTAAAACCACCGGAATTTCTCTTGCCAAATCAACTTCAAATTCAAATCAAGTTAGATCTGCTGCATATGTTCAAATACAATTTTTAAACTCTTAAAGCCTCATGATCTGTGTCTGCAACCTGATTTATGTCTGCAGCCTTTTCTTTTTATGTTCAAATTCAATTATTCAACTACAACTCAAAATTCAAAGCAGCATCTTTTATCTCCAAATTCAATTCAAAATTTGAAACACAATTTTGAATCTATGTTCTCTGCAACAGCATTTCTAATTGAACCGGGTTTGAGATTTACTGCAACACAACAAGCTCTACATCTGCACTCCACGTTTCAGCCAAGTCTGCACACTTTTTTTTTTTTCCGTCAATAAAATTTGGCCACGCTAATAATCTAACATATTCATATATATATATATATATATGAATAATTAATTAAAAAATTAATATTAATTTATAAAATTAAATTCTTATCGCACTACATTATTAAATTTATTTAGAGGTGTATGTGAAAATGCTGTGGAAGAATGTTAATTATGGCTCTTGGTCCAGTGTTGTTTTACTTTTACCCTTTGACTTACCCTTACTGGACTATAGGGCAATGGATATACGGAACAGTACTAATTCGTCTTTGGAAAACGTCACCGTGTCTATTAATGAAGTTTTTTTTTTTGGTTCCTTCGATTTCTCAGTATCGTCTGTAGATGCTTTTTAGCTTTCTCTCTGTTTTTTGTTTTACACACTTGTGTGATCGAAAATATTTGTTTTTAACTTTGCAGAGGTTTGGCTTAGTCGAGTAATCTGTTTTATTTTGCGCTACGTATTGCTGACGAGAGCTTCCTTTGCTAGCCAGTTCATAGAATTTTACTGTGCATTTGCAATTGTAATTGGGTTCGCTTCCACTTATATGGTAATCATTTATCTAATGGTCATTTTTTCTCCAATTATTATCATTTGACACACCATGATTCCTGAGTTTGAATATTATTAGACTTTGTTAAGTATATTTCACGTATAAAATTGTTCTTTTTGGAGATTGATAGGTTATGAAACTAAAAACACATCTATATATAACCTTTTCTCTTTCAGATGTACGGTTATATTGTTTTTTGTGTGGATATTTTTAACACTTTTCTTTCTATCTTTTCATTTTTTCCTAATTAAAACTCTTTCTTCATCAGATTGGGATCGAAATGTTAAGAGTTGGGGCCTAATCTCTGGAAAATCATTGAAGAAAAGCAAGGAAAACAAGCCACGAAGAGGAGGAGACAACATCCAGCGCCGCGGCCCTGGGTTTGGACAGCTCGGCAGCAGCAGCGCTAGCGCGCGAGGACTGGTGCGAGTTGATAGGTGCCGCGAGCCAGAAAGGCAGGTTGTGGTGCCAGGGCGCGAGGATAGGGATGGCAACAGGGCAGGAATGGGAAATGATTTACTATCCCCATCCCCGCTTAGGAGAGGCGGAGGCGGAGTCAGAGATTTTCCGTTAAGGGGTGTTCCCCATACCCATCCCGTTCTCCATACCTATCCCATTTCCCATCAAATGTTATTAAGCATTTCAAAATTATTGTAACTTAAAGCAAAAATAGAAATTCAATATAAGTTTAGACCAAAATCAAAAGTTCCTAAATACAAGCTAAATTCAAAACGCATGTAAAAAAAAAAAAAAAAATGGTTGTAGAGTCAAGAAAGGTCTTATTAAAAGTAATAATTAAAACATAGGCAAAAAATATATGTATGTATATTCATGTAAAATAGATTATATTATATATAACATGTGTATATCGGGGCGGGAGTGGGGTGAGGAGTTCTTTCTCCGTTCCCATCCCTCTAAGATTCGAGGGCAAGATTTTGGCTTAATTTGGTATTGCTTTTCCCTCCTAAAATTAGTTTATGTTTGTAGCAGAAGCTGATTTTAGTGTTTGGTAAATCTCTTTAAAAGTGCTTTTTGAAGAATTTTTTAAGAATCTGCAGCCAAAATCAGAAGCAGCCTAAAGACAACTTTAGCTTTTAGATTGTGCGAGAATCAACATAGTACAATTAATAAAATTTCATAATACCTATAATGTTGGTAACCGAATCAGAATTCGGATGCGGAAGCGTGGGGGGAGGCGGATCGTGTATAACAAAAATTTTCATAAAACATTTGAGATACTCTATAGATTATATTAATTTATGTACGAATAAATTAATCTTATTAATTCATTTATTAAAAACTCAATTAGGAAAAATACCTGGAGGCCGACTCGGTTGATAACTTGAGTTCTTTGACCTCGAACAATCCTTGCTCCAAAGCTTTGTGTTTAGAAAACTAATATCTTCCACGTCAATTCCTAGAATCCACGAAGACGTGTGTGTGGGCACACATGAGACAAAATGGGTTACAATAAACACTCGAATTTCCATAAACACCAACGCATGCACGATGTGAAATTTTTGGAGAAAAATTTTCCTTTTTCCTCTTTAAGAGAATTTCGGCCATAACTGGAATTAGGGCAAAAATTGTTTTAAAAATTGTCTAAAAAATTGTGTCCACAATTTTCTACTATTCTCTTATTTATAAAGTAGAAGTCAAACTTCTAGAAGGAATCCAATCTCTATCTCCAAGATAAAACTTGTTAATTATCTCTCCTATTTGAATTTGGAACAAAATATCCTCTTTTCCCTTTTCCATTATGGCCGGCCAGGATAGGGGATTCTCATCCCTGTGTGGCGCCAATTTACATATAGGGAAGGAAGAGAAAATCATCCTTTATCCTGTAGTCCAATTTTGACTCAAATTCAAATTCCAATTTAAGTCAAACTTAAATTAATTTGAATTCTAAATGGAACAACTTATCAAATAAGTTTAAATGGATAAATCTAGATGTGTTCAAATTCAAATTTAAATAATCACATTATTTAAATAACAATTAATTCTCAATTAATTATTTTCGAGTGTTTAATTTTAGAATTCCGTAATTCTAAAATTCCCATTTTGCCCTTTGTGTCTGGTAGAATTACTAGGACGACACGGGGACTAATGGACCTATAATCCCGAGCTCCAATAAAATTAATAATCAATTAAACACTTTAATTAATTAATTAATTCTATTAATTCTAATAGTTACTCCGTTATAAACTTGGAATTGCACTCTCGAAATTATAGACATAAATTACTTCTAAACTATGAAGTGTCCATTTGATATAGTCTTGCATATAGATCGATCATCTATAAATAATTCATAATTGGAGCTAGGTAAAATCCGTTAACCTCTCTAATTATATCTTTATCCTTGAGTACCATTGATTCTCTAATGGACAGTGATTCATAAAACACATTCATGAATCGGAGCTCCTACTGGTCCAAGTACCGAATCAACCCTCAAGAGAATTATTAATTTACTTCTTTCTTGAGAAGGAATGGATTCCATCTTGTGTAATAATATTCTCAGCTACCTACTTCATCATGTCTCCAAAATACAAGGAATAGGATTCAGGATCTCAGAATCCGTACCGAGTAAATCAAAAGACACAAATCCATAAATAGGAGTCTGTTAAGAACTCAGGATTAAGATCATTATATATATGACCATCGGTAGACTCAATTAGAATTTCTATACTTAACGAAAATTATTAGAAATTCATATTGTGTATGTGTCCTTGTTCCAAATAATCTCATTATGCGAAATACACTCATTCAATATCTCACCATATTAACAGTGCGGATAACACCGTTCCATTATAAATTGGAATGACATGTATTAATAATGTTTTAATTAAAGATTCTGAACTTTAATTAAATTCATTATGAACATTACTTTTTGATTATTATCCTTAAACATTATCCTCTCGTATATAACACTTATATACAATGTTTAAGGTTACATAAATAATCACAGAATTTTCATTGATATTCATAAAATATTCCCAAATATATACACATAAAATGATGAATAAACTCTTTTATTAAATAAATAATAAATATTCTATTACATCTTATGTTTCTAGGACACCA